TTCCCTTTTTTTAGGAAGTTTCTTCAATTCTTGATAGAAAAATCTATCAATCAGCTAAAAGGCAAGACATGTTAGACAGGGATTTTCATTACAAAAATGCAGTATAAAAATATTTAAAAAATATTCATTGACACTTGTATCCCTTTCCTCTTGCAGATATAGATAACTTAAATCTATTGGTTTGTATATCTCGGCGAACGTTTCTCCAGGAAAGCTGCCATTCCTTCCTTTCTGTCCGCCTGAATGAAAGGAAATTTTAACTTATTAATGAATCTATTTTTTCATCGAATTTAGATTATTGATAATCATAAAAGGATTTCTCACCAGAGAGAAAGTGCTGTGAAACAATCTTTGTTCAAACAGAAGTCCTTGTTGCAATGTGGTTTCGTATGCTAAAATTAATAAATCATAATTAGATATGTTACGAACTATTGGATTACATTGAGAATTACTTAAGTAATTCTTTATATATTCTTTTTACCAGCATTAACAGATTCTTTGGCTATCGCGACAATCAACTGTGAGTGAGATGCGATTTTTTCGCCCAATTTCACTGCTTCTTCGACGACTTTGTCAGCTGGAAATACTTTGCTAACTAGACCTAGATAAGATTAAAAAAAAATAAAACTTACTCTTTTTTAATACACTAAACGTTTTAAAAAATATAAGTAATAACAGAATATTAAGATTGAAATTAATGAAAAATCGTTAAAAATAATTCAACATAAAAACTCAAATATATAAAAACAATTTTCAAATAGAATTTATATTTAAATTAATGAAGTAACTTAAATTCCTTCCGGTTGCAAGTGTTAACTCTGATTTTTATTAATGCAAACTTACCGCTTTTCTCAGCTTCTTCCGCGGAAATCATATTACCAGTGAGTATCATTTCCATAGCTTTACTTTTGCCGATGACCCTGGTTAATCTCTGAGTGCCGCCTGCTCCGGGAATGGTGCCGATGGCAATTTCTGGTTGGCCGAATTTGGCTTTATCACCGGCGTAAATAATATCGCACATCATTGCTAGTTCATTTCCTCCACCCAACTATGAAAAACGGAAGTACATGTTATTCAACTATTCATCTTTGTTTTCAGCATCACTCGATGACAACCGAAGGCATTACTTACAGCGTAACCATTTACAGCAGCAATTATGGGCTTTCTGCTTTTAGCAACTACATTCCAGCCAGCTATAAAGTTTAACTTCAAATTTGATGCGTACGAGTTATCCTTCATTTCCTTGATATCGGCACCTATGAGAATACAATTAATATATTTTTTTATATTATAATATATAAAGATAATAAAAGGGGACCAATATCCCGAATTTGCCGAAGAATAATTTCCTGAAGAATATATTTAAAAAGCAGTATGTAAAATAAAGTTCGTGTAATCTTACCAGCAGCGAATGCCTTTTCACTTCCGGTAAGGACAATGGCAGCGATAGACGAATCCGAATTGAAATGTTCCAAAGCTTGACCTATTTCGGTCATTAACTGATTACACAAAGCATTTAAAGCTTTTGGCCTGTTTAAGGTAACAACGCCTACATTCTTCTTCTCACCTACAGTCTCTAGTTTGAGGAACTCATAATTGCCAGTTGAACCTATAAATCACATCAGAGCAGGGTTTTTTATTTAAAAAATAAAAAGTTATTTTTTTATTTAAAAAAATTAAAAAATACTTTTTATTAAAGAATAAGAAAAATAAAAGAATTTATTAGAGAATAATTAGTTCGTGATTAGTTCCTAAAATGATGACATAAAAAGCAAACAAGATCATTTTGCATTGAGATTACGTGTTATAAAAAAAAATTAGAATGTATCATTTCCATAATGACAGTAAAATATACAATTTATTCAGGTACAGTAAATAATAACAAAATTTTTGCTAATAAAAAAAATTAATTATTACATTAATGTAAAATGTAGCCGAAATATATAATTGTTATTGGAGTTATAATATGCTCGCTTTTAATGATTCGCATATTTGTTGTGTATAATTAATGCCCAACTATAAAAAAGGATATATTAATAATTATATTAAAATAATAATACCGGCTGGAATGGAAAAATGGAATCTTTTTCTAGTGTATTATTTGTAACTATATGTTTTGATAGAATTAATTAACAATGCACGGTGTGTTTGATGTTTTTTCAAAAATAATCATTTATTTATATATATCGGATATTTAAAGTAGTTTTATTATGTTCAACGTTTTAGGTTCCACAAATGTAAGATTAATTCGGTTCAACTTCCTATTTATCTTTTTCTAGATCTTAGTGGAAGCGAGCCTTAACTTTCTATGTATATTATGTAATCAAGAACGAGTATCAACATGAAGATAACCACGAGAATATATTGAGCAACGTATAACAAGGTCTGTTTCATATACAAGGTATCTCAAAAAGAACGGAGGTTTTTTGTTTATTAGCTAATTTAAAGATAATTTTGTTTTTAGCAAATCACAAACATTGTTAATGAATAATTTTATCAGAAAATCTTTTTATTGTTTGTTACATCACTTTAACATGAATTGTCTTTTATTTCTTCTCGAAATAAATAAATATTATTTAATACATAAATTATAAATTCTGAAAAATATCAAAAACAGCTTTGCACGCTTGAGTTATATTCATGCATTCGAAGAAAAACAATGAAACGGCGTGTTTTCTACTTGGCTTATTAAGGCTTATTAATCTCTATGAACTCCTTTACAGTCATAAATTAAGAATCGCCTTATCACATGAGATAACTAATTTTAAAGTCATAATTTGAAAATCAAAACAAGATTACAAAAGTATAAATAATACAAAAGTGTTATATACATGAGTAAAAAATTCATAAAATTTATATTATAATAATATTAAATTATATCAAATTTATCTTTTTTTTTGATATATTGGGTGGGGAAAAAGTATGGAAGCAAACAATTATTTCCGAAACTATTCATTTTTCGACAAAATGTCTTAGATTACATTGAGAATTACTTAAGTAATTCTCAATGTAATCTAAGACATTTTGTCGAAAAATGAATAGTTTCGGAAATAATTGTTTGCTTCCATACTTTTTCCCCACCCTGTATAAATATGTGCATCCGAGGTAACTTGCAATTTTTTTTTAAAAGCAATATAATAAACATGTTTTGTCACATATAGTAATATTATCATTACTAATACATATAAATCTGGCAAATAATTAAGTTTCTTCTTAAAACCGTGTGATATTGCGAGTCGCAAGTCATATGCATATAAATATATGTATAATAATGTTACAAAAAATAATTATGAGGAAACTATTTTGGGCTGCCGTTATTCACGTATAATTATAGATTTTCAGTACTCGCAGTGAATAACGGCACTCAGGCACTTAATGTACTCGAATTTAATAGCAGTATATAAACATATTTTTTTCGTAGCCTCAGAAACAAGTTTTGTAGCGTAGTGCAGCGATTATACCGGGTGTTCCCCACGAAACCGGCGTTTCTGACGTTACCACCAGCTGTCCCGGCTGGTGACAACCGGTGACCCGACGGAGAAGGGATCTGTGTTCGCAGGTATATTTGGTACTTACAGGAATAATACCTGAAAACAGGCGCGGCGAATTGCTGCGGTTTTCGGGCTGCGTGCGACACGCGAGAGAATAGAATCTGCGACACACGACTGACAGACATGATGATAGTTAAGTGTCCGTGAATAAATGTAAATTACGACCCAAGTTCATAGGCTGGTTGATAATATCGCGCAATCCTGCCAACTATCAGCGAAAATATCACTGGGTTCTTATACTTCCAACTAAAGCTAGAAATATAATATAACGTTCGAATTACCCGCGTTTTAGTGTCCAAACAGTTGAATCCGCAAATTCGAGAATTCGTATTCAAATCGTAGGAAAACTAATGGCGAAACAATATGCCGATTGTTCCTTTTTTATTAAAGTTATATGTAACATTCATATCTATCGTATATATACTCAAGAAACATTATACATAATATATATATCAGCGTAATGATGTATATTTATTGATAATTGTATATAATTATTGTTAGTAATTAAAATATCAGAAGAACATGAACAGCAATGAGATTGTAATAACTAAAATTTCAAAAATTTTCTCAAATTCCAAGAAGTTTCCTATTTTTTAAGATTTTTTTTTTGTATTTCCATATAAGACAATGTTCTACAAAAAGTATAAATTAAAAGAGAATATATATCTTTTTATATTTAAAATAAATTTTTATTAAAAAAATGAAATATGACAATTTATCTCATTTGTAATTATTCTTAAAAATAGAAATCAATAAAAATAATAATTTCTCGAGTAATTTCTAGATTTTATTGTACAATTGCGGAAAAAAGCCATCTTATTTTCTTGTAAATCGATGCGATAAATTATTTAATACGTAAATAATTTGCATTAATAATTAAAATATGAGGATAAGATTTATTCACTCATAATTTCAAAAATTTCTCAAATTCCTCATTTTCCAAAAATTTTTTGAATTTCCATGTAAGAAATATATATATATATATATTCACAAAGTACAGAATCAAAAAATATATATTTTTATAATTAAAATAAGATTTTTATAAGAAAGGTGAAATATAAGAATTTACGTCATATGTAATTATTCTTGACAATAGAAAACCTGATAAAAAATAATTCCTGTTGTATAACCGCAGGAAAAAGCGGCGTTTCTTGTAAATCAATATTAAATTAATACGTAAATAATTTGCGTGAGTTTATAAAAACGAACAGCGCTTGAGCCTGCAGTTCCGAATCAATGAGCCGCGACAATGATCGATGATCCATGCGATGACTATGATATACAAAGAAAAAAGGAAGAAAAAGTGAAAAAGATGATCGTCTCATCACGCGGTGAAAGTATCCGATTCGGATGCGAATTAAAGTGGGGAGGAGAGGGTGGAGAGGGAAGAAAGTCACCCCGAGACAGGTAACGGTGGCAGACGGCATGTTGGTATCTTGGCATTGAGCGAACTTGAGTTTATCGCCAGTTCACGGTCGTTCGTCCACACTTACCGTTTCCACGGGACCATGCGTTCGATTCTACTTCTCGCGTTCTTAGCAAACACTAAGATGAGCAATGCAGGTGAGATACATTGCGATTTCGTTGTGATCCATTAGTCTGAGATGATAAGGGAGTTTTTATCGAAAACGAGACATTAAATCATCAAATAAAATTCTGTGCTTTTTAAATAATTTTGATTATAATACACTGAAAAAAAATCTTAATTTTAAAGAAATATCTATTTGCTGGTATTAAAAAAAAATTATTTCTTTGGATCGATAAAAATTTCTTTAGAAATACAATATCTTATTTCTTTGAAAGCATAATATCTTATTTTTAAAGACATTTTCATTGATCCAAAGAAATAATTTTTTTGAATACGAGCAAAGTGATATTTCTTTGAAATTACGATTTTTTTTCAGTGTAATAAAAAAATATTAAAAGTTTGTTCTCTCATTAAAAATGTTATTTGAATTGTTATGAACTGATGACTTTTTTCAAATTAAAAAATGTACGTAATCATGAATTTATTAATGACATACTAAATAATATCATCACTTTAAAAAATATAGATATGGATTTAACACTGTTATATAATTTTAATATTAACACGGTGAGAATATATTTTTTTTAGATTGAAATAATGAACTTTTAACCGGTCAAATATGTATTTCAAGGAATTGTACTTAAGAATACAGATTCAGAGTGCTTTCTTCATTTTCTTTCCATTTAAAATTATTTCCTTCCCAAGTTTAATCTTTTTTTCATTTAAAATTATTTCCTTCCCAAGTTTTCACAAGAGTGGAATAAATCGCTGTTGCACTTTCGTTTCCAACTTTTATTAAACTTTATTTCAATTACTCCGTTTTAAATTATTTTATGATAATATTACTCAGTTATAAATTACTTTACAGTAAACAACGGTGAGCTTATAAAAGATCGAGAATAAAGTCTAAAACTAGCTATCAATTACAGAAGAGATCTGGCAGCAAGATCTGTCTAAAGACATGCAGATAGGTGCATCCACCGATGGCTACGATCGCGTGGGGTTGCGATGCGGCGCTGAAAGAATGACCGTCGAGCTCAAAACTACAAAGGACTTCTCAGGGGTGATCTACACGCAGGGTAACTTTTATTCCCGAGAACCGTCCTGTTTCCTCGACCCAGTTCGCGGTAGAAGCTTCACCATGAGCATCCCTTTGAACAAATGCGACACTGAAAGGGTACGTTACTTAAACTTTTGTTTGTCCTATTAATTTCTTCTTCTCGAAACTATTATTTATTAGCCTTATGAGCAAAACAAGTCATTTAAGTAGAAAGAAAACGTGATTCTCTCTTTCTTCCGAAACCTTTCATTTCCTTTTAAATTATATCTTTCTAAAGAGTGACAAGCTACCATACAATTTTTTGCAATTTTCTAAATCGTGACATTTTCTTCATCGTAAATCATTGTACCTTATAAACGACATAACGACGAAATATCATAGCTGGTAAAAGAAAGTATAACTTGTACATTATATTTTCAAATATATATTATCTTGTGATTTTTTATTTCTACAATTTCTCTCATATTTTTATTTGTTAACCTAAATAAATGATAAAACAGGAAATTCAACTTTTATAAGGGATTTTTTTAAATTGTTTCTCTTAATGTGTGTGTGTGTGTGTTTTATAATTCTTTAATAGTATATCTTACAATTACTTTCTATCTCTATTACGAGAAATTATTCGTAAGATAGATTAGAGAGCTTTAATCACTATTTAATGGATGTACTTTAAAATAACTTATGGTTTAAGATGTGGATTATTTATACCATTCAAAATTTTCTGTACATTTTTTTTGTCTCGGTGAAAGAATGGTGACAAATACAGCAACATCGTGGTGATTCAGCACGACGACGAGTTGTTAACACCAGGTGACGCCGCTTTTACGTTAGAGTGTGACTTCTCGAGACCGCGTGATCTTACGGTATCGGCGGATCTTAATGGAAATAAGAAGAGGTAATTGCTGTTTCGTCATTAATTCAACTTACTTTCGATATAAATGTTGATTGCTACGCTTTTTCAATTATTCATAAGCTTAATAGAGATGCTGCTGAGATTGAGTTTCTTGTGTGAAACGAAAATTGAAAAGAAAATTGGCAATTATTACGATACGTGAAATGAAAATTTGAAAAGAAAATTGGCAATATCCTTTGATAAAACATTAATTTGTGAAAAACACAAGTTTTCACATCTAGTAAAGATCTTAAGTAAAGAACTTTGATCCTCTTGAACATAGATACTATTTCTTCTCTGTTATAATACTATAATATATAAATTAATTAAAAAATAAACTGTTGCTCTCTGTTTTCATCTCATAAAGTTATTCTTCCAAAATTAAATAATGTTCAGTAATTTCAATATTAAATCAAGGTTAATGTTTTTATAAAGAAAAATTAATGTCGGCTTAGTTATAGAGTACATATTTTCACGAAGTACAATGAAAATTTTAATAATATATTTCAAGCAATGATACACTTTTATTTATTAGATCGACTAGATCGAGTATAGCTCTCATCGACGCCGATCCAGGAAGTGACAGAAGAAAGAGGTCAGCGTACGTGGAAAGCTACGGGGACGAAGTTGTTTTCGTGCCGAAGCAAACATATCGTAAGGCAAACGACGAACTGTGAGATACCAGTATGTGCTAGCTTAATAAAGGGACTGAGTAAACATTGTCTTATTTTCTGGTCGCTTCTCGAAAACTTTCACGGAATTCCCAATGAGAGTAGAATGTCTAAAATCAACACACAAGACAACTTTAAGATATCTTAAAGTCGTTTCTTATGCGTCGATTTTAAGCATTCTACTCAATGAGTTATGTCGACCGACAATCGCCATAGACAGATTTTCATTTGAAAAATCCTATCGTTCTTTTATTAAAGTGTGACAGTTATATCGTAAATATAATTGTAGCTCGAGTTTCTCGCTGGTACAATCGGTGGTGTTGTCTCACAAAGCTCTTTTTGATATTAGACATGTTTACAGCAAATGCAATCGTAGAGATCAAGAGATGCAATTAATATATTTCGTGATTGATTAAATGTATTTAATTTAAAAAATCAATTAAATTATTTTAACGCACATTTCTGCCAACGTGAAAATTAATTTTAAACTCAGTTCAATTTACTCTTCATCTTTTTCTAATTCTTAGAACTAAAAAAACATGGAGAGCCAGTTGAACTTAAATTAAAATTAAACTACATTGGTAAAAAAAGATATAAATCCAAAAACCGATTTAATTTAGCTTGCATTTGCCGAATGATCGTTGCCGCATGATAAAAACATGTATCTTAATTGATTTCAGAATGAGAAGAAAGTCGGGGGTGCAGTTTTATTAAATCTTACCGAACGTTCTCCATTGATGAAAACTCACGATGCATTCTACGTGAATTTGTTGTTGTTGCTTGTTATTTAATTTACGTTGTTTAAATAAATTATGTAATTCGTTCGAGCGGATTTTTCATTGCTATGTGATATATCTTAATTTAATCGTGCAACGGCGGTAGAATGTATGCATTTTATATATATACGCGCGACTTTTTGCAATCTATTTTTATTCCAAAGATACGATATATAATGCGATAATTTCGTCGATAACCCCTTGTCCCTACCATGACATTGCATAATAGAAATTTTCAAGTTACTTATTGACATATTAACTATGCAGTAAACAATTTTGACAGCTATTTCAGGCCGTTTTAAAAGTCGCTTGAAACCTAGAAGTACATCTAATTATTATGATTCAGTTTTTGCGATAGAAGTTATAATATGGACAAATGGTTAGCATAACTGCAGCGATAACAAAGTCCTCCGATCTTTACGTATTATAGGTCACCGGTAATGTTTTTAGAAATGAAAGGATATCGCATGATGATTATGCAAAAACACGAACAAACATAACTGCAAAATCTAATGGCTATATCGCGTAAATATGTATAAACCACTCATAGGCCGGTATTCATAGTCAGATCTTATATTCAAGACCGTCTTAAGTACGGTCTTAAGAAGTTACGAACCAATCAGAGAGCTGCATTAGCGTCTTAAGACATTACTTAAGACGATCTTGAAATAAGAATTGACTATGAATACCGGCCATAGACAAGTCAACTTTATGCTCGACCTATTAGAATAATCAACGTGTCGAATATGCTGGAATATTCAATTTAATATTCTCTTGGGATACACTGGGTGCAGCTTCGCATCGCACCAATTGCGTGTAAACGATACACTCAACAACACTCAGGGACGGCGAACTGTATGTGGAATGGTGGAGGATTCCACAGATATGAATTTGACATGTGTGGAATTCCACACATGTCAAGCTACAGTTAATCTAAATTTTTAACGAGTAAAGATACATTTTTACGAGCCGCGCAAAATCCGCCGTTTCTGCTAGTCGAGCTTATGAATGAATTTAAATACAAATAACATTCGACGAACTACATTCTCAATAAAAAAATGAAGAATAGCAAAATAAGTATTCGTGTATTTTATTCATTTGTTTATTTGTATTGTATATTATAAGTGTAGATCTATAAATATTTCCATTTCCCTTTCGGAGGAGGATTTCTTCGTTCGAAATTTTTTTTTAGACTTCTTCACACGCGTCCCCCGGAACTCCGACTCACTCCACACATACAAAAAATTTACTTCGCTCTTGCACTGAAAAAAATATAGTCAATTTTTAATAAATATTTAGTTGAACACTGCCAACTAAATATTTATTAAATATAAAGATATATTTATTTGATACAAGAATTATTAATTTGATTTAACAATCTTTTTTTTTACTGAACAAATATTTATTTACA